ACTGTGAGGGAAATACACCCCCCCCCCCACCCCCCAGCCCCAGCGCCAGCGCCAGCACCCACCTGATTCCGCGAACGTGATGATCTCTGAGGTCTGCTCCATCAGTTCATTCATTTCTGCCCTCCTTCCGATGTCATCCTCTATCTCCACGTACCCGTTCTCCCCCACTTTGCCCACATGCAGCTTTTTGATCGCATTCAGAAGCGCCGCCTTGGGCACCGGCTGGGTGACCTCGGGTCTCTTCTTCAAGTGCAGCATGTTTAAAATGTGCTTTTTGACGGCCTCCACCATCTCCGGCTGAGCGCTGGGTACATCCTTGGGCAGGGTGGTCAGTGCACAGGACGGGCAGGCGGGGTCCGCACTGTGCCCCTCGGATCCCGGGGCAGGGGAACTCTTCACTATAATCCAGCAGCTCGCCAACAGAAATCCTCGCAGCCAAAGCAAGGGCATCCTGGCAGCAAAAGTTGTTGTGGTTGCCTTTTTAAAGGCCCTGCTTTTCCTCCCCCCTCACGCACAGGTTTTTTGTTTGGTTTGGGTTGGGTTGGGTTTTTTCCTTCTCCTCTTCAGCAAATTCTCTGGAACGAGAACAAAAAGTTTTCTGTGAAGTTTTCTTTGCAGGTTCCCTCTCTGAATGCAGTCAGTGCTGTAGGTTTGTGGCTGTCAGGGAGGACAGTTCTGACTGTCTCCGAGGAGAGAGGGAGGGAGGGAAGGAGGGAGAGAGAGAAGGAGAGAGGAGAGAGGGAGAGAGGGAACGATTGGCCCTAAGTGAGGGAGTGAATGGGAGAGGGAGGGAGTTGTGAGTAGAGGCTGTGATTAGAAGGGGAGGGAAAGCCCGTTTTCTGACAGGCTGCTTCCCTGCTGCTCACGGCTCCCTCACACACACCTCTCTTCAAATATCTCCATTCTCGGGAGTTCCACTTTCCCTTCGGAAAGACATTCTCCTAATTTTGTTCCACTGTTGTTTTTTTCTCTGCCCAGTCCCCTTGCTTCACCTTCTTCCTCTTTTGGAGAGGAAAAAAATGCCCCAAGTAAAGGCACTGTCTCAATCAACAGGAATGACTTCATTGCCCAGGCTGCCCACACCGCCCTGCACTCTCCTAGCCACAGCCCTGGACGCACAGCTCACCGGCCTGGAGAGGGGGCTCAGGGTGCCGGAGGTCAGGGGCCCGGTAGGGGCGGTCGGGAAGAGGGGCAGGGGACTACGGGGCACAGGGCCAGCCAAGAGTTCCAGCTTGAGGGAATCCCAGAGATCTTCCCGGGTCCCCCATTCATTCAGAGTTAACCGCTCAGGATCGTCAACACTGGCAGGCGATCTGACAGGAGCGAGCGCCACAGAACTTTTGTTTGGGGTCATATAATACACTCTGCTTTTCCCAACTGCAGAATGCCGCGGGGCACTTTGCAGATCCACAGGCAGGCAGGCAGGCAGGCAGCGTTTTATGTGCTCCTGTCATCTGAAGCACTTTCCCCCCTCTCTCTCCTCAGTAGCCACCCCCTGCTGCCCTGCACACACACACACACACACACACACACACACTCACTACAGCCCACCACCGCTTGCCCTGACTTCATAGAGAAAATGCACAATTCACTTGGCCTTTCCCACATTATGTCACACAAATAGTACGCTCTTACAACTTGAATTACTGGTCCTATGGGGGGAAAAAATCTCTGAAATACATTGGCAAGTGATTTTCTCTGTCATGTGGGGTTTTCTGCAGCCCCTCCACGCCCCTCCCCATCCTGGACCAGTGTGGTCATGGACTGGCCCCTGGGCTTCCTCCTTTTCTCTCAAAGGAGCAGCGCAGATGAAATCATCATGGATTTCAGTGTTCACAGTCAAAGAAAAATGTGAATTTTTAAACAATGCCTCTCTGAGGTGGTTGTTGTTTTTTTATTCTCCTCCCTGCCCCCGCCGCAGCCCCTTTTTTCATTTTCTGTCTTAATGCTTTTATCTTGCAGAAGTATCTTTAAGAGGTCCATCTGTTAAAGCTTTCCTTCCCTCTGGGTTTCTTTCCCACACATAAGCCCTCTCCATTTCTGTAGATACAGTCAGCTTATATCTGACACCTAGCGTGTTCAGAGCATTACCGTCAAGCATGACAATTTGGGAAAGGGGAGGAGAAAGTTAATAAATGCCATTGCTATATGCCTGAGATTGGAGGGCAGGGGAGGAGGGTGAGAAAGTTGGGCACTAAGTTACAATGACAGTTTGCACAAGTAACGACGGTTTCCTGAATTGCATGCACTGCCCCCCTTTCCAAAAACAATTACTTGCAAGACTTTCTGTGTTACGAGCCCTGTATGACCTTTGGAGTTTCACCTCCAGGAACGTCAGTTACTCTGCTGATATGGTGAGGACTGTCAGCGTTCCCTAAACAGCCTAATTTTTTAGTGAGGGGTGGTGACAAAAAATGGGGAAGGGGGCATTTGCATTATAATTGTTTAATAAAATACCTTTGCCATATAATACTTAACAGAATTTAGCTATTTGGCATTGCAGATACAGTATCCAAAACCTTTTGTAGTCCAATTAAGTTTTACAAGCGAGTCTGACATAGAACTAAAAGTTGAATGACTCCAAACGACACGAGTAGCATTTAGATTCAGTGCAATTTGTCAGCATCAGGATTCTCTCTGCGGGGATGTGTGTGTCCCCTACATTTGCTGCTTGTGAATGTAACTCTGAACAAATAGCTTTCTCTTTGGCATGTGTCTCCCTGTACATGTGCTGAATAGGTTGTATAAACACATAATCTATTTGCATGCCGTCCTATTAAAAGCTGTGTCAACCTGCCTGAATAATACAAGAAGGTACAAAACCATAACGTGCATGAAGTGCCAGGCAGTTGTAAAATTCCTTCTAACCATCCTGACTATGAATGTGTAAGCAGCTCACAAGTAAGAGTTAAAAAGCATTACCTTTCCGGTGCTCTCTCTTTCACCAGCAGCCTCTTGTATCATGTGGTTAGAGCTGTCTGAGTTCCTCTTCATGGTATTGGCTCTGTGAACTTTTATACTGTACTACTTACTTGTACACTCACACATTGGTACCACTCAAACAGGAGGGCTGGGGCTTTGTTTGGGATTGGTTAGAATTGCATGACATCAGCAGATGACTAGTTTTTCCAGTGTGAGGCATATTTCATAATCATTATCTAATGGAAAGTCTTTTCTTAGCTGCTTTTGGGTGATCCCTGAGGCAGGAAACCTCTGGCTGACTAGATTACCTTAAAGAAAACTCCTGGAATCAAGCAGTTATATCTCACTGAGTATCAACTTCCAACTTTTCTTTTACTATTTGCACAACACACACACACACACACACACACACACACACACACACACGCACACTTCTCATTATATTCAGGTTCAGTTTTATGTCTTCACATAAAACATCTGTTACTTCATGAAGTTACCTCTATTTACAAAGTATTTTATTGTTTCTTACAGGCAAGAAAATTCACAGTACCCTTTATAAGGATTCTAACTTTACTTTTTTAAATAAGATATTCCATTGGAAAAAAAAGAAAATATATATACTTATATGATGATGGTCTCCCTGCCCTGTCAACCCTATTATTTTACATCATGAAATTGAATGCCTGCTTCATAAATCATTTATCACCAAGAACTTTGGAAATAGTCATTCTCTGCAGGTAAACATTATAAGTATCCTTCCCAGTCTTTAGAATCCCCCTCCCCCCCCAAAAAAAATCTCATATATTATCCTACTTTATCAAATCTTGAAGTCTTATGATTTCTAAATTGTTACAAACATAACAAGAGATTAATGAAAAGAAACAAACATTCCTCGTCTAGGGGTTAAGTTGGTTGGGATTTTCTTTGTGTGTGGGGGGGGAATGTTAGCAACTCGGAAATAACACAGGAGGAAGGAATCTCAGACAAGGATGGTGGAGAAGGGTAGTTTGGAGTATAGCTGAAGCATAAGCTGGGTCCTTACCATAGGTTGAATAAAATGTGCAAAATTGGGAGCTAATGAAAGCCATATGACCATATATGTTGTTTTGTATGCAGGATTTAACATGCATAAAATAAACTTTTCACTGTGCCCACCAGCAACATCTAGAGGCTCTGGCCTCCTGATGTATAACTGAAGCTGGTTCCTTTAGGACACCACCAGTTTTCTGTGTAAGAGGATCCGCCTTGGCCAAACACAGAGAAAGTGTGGTTGCAGAACTGTATGTGGGGGTGGGGAGTATTCTAAGAACTGCATATGCAGAAATAAAGTAGGAAATTAAATCATTAGGGTGTACAGGAATGGGGGGGAATCTGAGAAGGAAAGATAGAAACAGGATCAGTGTTGGCTCACGCCACACCTGACCATCAGCTTGGAATTGGATGGACTCAGACTCTCCCTCCGAAAGGACCTTCCCCAGCCTATTGCATGAGCCCCTCATGGAGGGCAATGGCCTGCAGGCCTCTGAACTCAGCTCCTCCCGCCTGGGAGAACCCGCCTGTCCCAGAAATAACCGCTGATTTTGAGTTTGGGGGCACACAACCAACCTGGATGAGCCCCAGGTCCCACTGCATACTGACCACTCCCTAAGGCCTCAGTGTTCTCATCCATAAAGTGGGATCCATTCCTGAGATGCCTTTGTAAACACTGGTGTCACAGGAATCTACAGCGCCCTCGCTAGAGGAGCCGCCCTGCATGTGTGACTCAGAGCGGGTAGGCTATCAGATGCCCACCAGCTGTGATGTCATTCTCTACCTGAATCCCCCAGGCTCAGCGCTGAGGCACCCTGGAAATGCCTCCTCGCTCCGTGGAAGTGAAGGTGGGGGTGGTCGGGGGAGCGGGCGTGTTAACATATCTTCTCTGGAATATTCCGGGCTGGGAGTGATCTTTTTCCTTCCAAACTCCAGGGTCCAAAGTAAGCGGGTCAGCCCAGCTTCTGTCAAGCATCTCCTCTTCCTTCCTCGCTTTGGTTTCTCTTTCACTTCCTGCCCCCTCCCCCCCAGCAGCTCCCCGCCCCCGGCCCTGCTGCCGGCGGCTCGGCTGCTACTGTACCTTGAGCAACACCTGCTGGCAGCTCCCGGGGATCACGCTGCGACCCCACCGCCAAGCCCCGCAGAGCGGCCGCCTCTATTTTTACCCGGAGCACCAGCAAGGGCAAGCTCTTTTCAGAGCAGCTCTTGATTTTTGCCCCCTTTTGGCAGCTCAAGAATTCAGAGAGTGGAGGGGGAAAAATAACTGTTCAGCGATCGCAGCTGGGAATGTCGGAATCAGTGCTCAGCCAGGGCCCAAACCACAGCCAGTGTCAGGGTCCAGGCTGGGGACCCGCAGGCTGGCTGCTGGGCAGGGAGAGGCGCGCCAGGA